CAAAATCTTCCAAAGCTCTGCCACCACTTTAGGCTTGGAACACACAGAAGAATGAGTTACTCCTCTTTGCAACAATTTGCTGGCCAGGAAAGAGGAAGGGTTAGCATATGTAGCTGGAAAGGTACATACAGGAAATGGTAAACAGGATTGAGGAAGGAAAAATAGTCATAGGAGGAGAATGTGAAAAAAGAAACAAGAGGTACAAAACATATGTATATACACAGATGTCAAGGTGCAATATTTGAGAGCTAAGTGAAGCTAATGCACGTAATTGAAATTAGAACTCTAGCTTTTTATTATTTTCTGAAACCTGATCTTAAGTGTTAATATCCAACCTTCATCCAATGATCTGGAAGTATCAGACTGTCTGTATTTTTCAGTTACCTGAAATAACAATATAGTTATTCTAAAAAAAAAATCGTTTCAGCAAACATTTCACTAGAATTAAGTACTCCGTATTCTTTGTTAAAGCAAGGCTGTAACGTAAGAAGATAAGTATGGTTTTGATACATGTTAAAATTGTGCTTTAAAAAAGTTTCTTATCACAATATGTTACTGTGCATGCTACAAAAATTACTGCATTTCTCCAAACATAATTAAAATGGTCAAACCCTGTTACACATGAAAGGCAGGTGCAGATCCCTCAGGAATGAGGCACAGCATTCAGCAAGTAAAAGCTTTGGCTTTATGGAAAACATAGCATTGCCATGGTGGAAGCCCCACGACACCAACAACAATCAAATGGGGACCCAACACAGTGGAGCCCTGCTCGGGAGTGAAGCTCAAGGGAAGGCACCATGGGGCTGGGTAATCGGTCTTGTGCTGATCATGCATGTGCGCTGTCCTTTTCCGCTCATTAGTGAACTCACTGCTGTAATGCAGGTGCCGTTCTCTGAATTCCATGATCCGCAGCTGGCCTTCATGTTGGTATCTATGGAGGGGTATGTGCAGACCGGGGGGAAGTGAACTACCCCAGCTTACTGTAACAGACAGATAAGACATGCTTGGGATTCCACATACTTGGATAGAGGAGGTGAACTGTCCCAGCTTGACATAACAGTCTTCTAAAACCCTACAAACCGAATTCTCATTTCTTAAACATAAACAAGTATCATTATCTTAAACACTACAGATGGAGTCCTCTGTCCTTTTTCATGGAGAAACTTCTGTGTCGATTTCCAGGGACTAATTATTCTAAAAAACAGTTTATTTAATACGGGGGGCGTGGGGGGGTGTGGGGGTGTGTGTGTGTAAGAAAAAAACAATTTTCAAGTTAACAATACAGTTTAAACATGGAAGAAGGTGCTCAGTGATGTGCAGTGGAACAGGGTCTTCTTCATTTTCTCATGCAACTGAAAATGTGAAGATTAAGTGGTGGCCTGGTTCTCCATAAAGTAAGGCATGGTATTAGTATTCCACTGTTATCTAAAAACTGTTCCTGCAACATAATGCACAAACCTTCAAGACAAGCCAAATATCTATGCATGTATAGAATGTATACAATGTATGGACTATGGTAACTTATCTTTGTAGGAAGTCTAATTTGGCCATCACTTTGTGCATAACAGGGATTGCATTAATGGTATTCTAAATACTCTGTTACAGGCAAATAATGCTAGAGAAATCATCAACTGATAGAATGATTGTTCTGTTACTGGTGAAATCATGATGGGTTTCAGTACCATGTTGTGTAGGACTTTGTAGCTCTGAATCAACATGTGAGCAAGTCATTATTTCCACAAAACCAGAAATGTCTCACACTGAGAGCTGACACGAAGAGGTATTTAATGTCCGAGTTTATTCTGGGTGAAAGCTGCTCACAGCGGTTCACGGATGGCATTTTGAATGTCTAAATGAAACCGCTGTTTGAAGCAGTGTGGGAAGCATGAAATCAGCACTGACTTAAAACAATCTTCAAGGTGATGCTTTCAGAGAAATAAAGAATTGTGTGCTCTTGGCCTGCGCCAGTAATAAAATCTATTTTTGTTAGTAGGAAGGACTAGTGACACCATGGGTTCAGACACAACAGAGCTACTTGTAGAAATAGTATTGCTTGTATTTGGCTTGGCCATTTCATTTTCTGTGAGTTGAATATTTTGGAAGAGTTCTTGTTTGAAGCTGAAGTTTCATGTATTCTTCTGTCCCATATGACTATAATATTTCTATATGTAATAGCCTAACAGCTATATGTAGTGACCAAAACCAAGTACCCAAATTGCACATAATATCATATGATTGCCAGTACAGACACACAGTTGAATCCCATGCTTCATGAACCAAGTTCAGAAGGACCTTTTTGAGAAGGAGTAATAGTTGGTATTGGAAACCATGGATTTGTTGACATAGAATGGAATTTTATGGAATGTACATCACTGCCCAACTTTGTTATCTGTAAAGTCAGTGAGAAACTCTCATTGATATCAGCAATAACTGAGCCAAAGTGCTGAGCACTTTGAAAATTCTTCACTTAAATTTGTATTTGATGGGGATGAGAGGAAGCTAGCTGTAATGCCGCAAAAAAAATCACTATGATTGTTTGTATATGTAAACTGATTCTTCAATTATTTTCTTGAAGAACTGATTGCAGAGGTACTTAGTACCACCGGGACTGAGGCTCGAAAGATATAAACTGAACCCATGCCCGCAAATGCAGATCACCCACCACAGAACATGAAAGCATGTAAAAAAATAAGCAAGGAAAACTGTTTCACAATATCTTCTTTCCTCTTGCTTCAGTTGTACAACATTAATACTGAGAACATTTTGTTCTAAAGTATTCAGGGAAGAAACAGGTGACAATTCTGCTGCCTACAGAGCCCTTTACCTGTACAGTACAGTCAAGACTTGATACTCTCCCCCACCTTTTCTAGGCATGTTGTCAAAAGTCCTTAAAAGAAGAGGTTCATTGTGAGTATGTCCCAGAGTGGCTTGGGGCAGTGCAGTGCACAGCAGTAAATGTCTAGTCTTCAGTTTATTTCCATGTACTTCTTTTTTCCTTATGCTATTTATCACATCCCTCTCGCAACCAAAAAACTCAGTCTTTCACTGTTAAAAAATTAATATGTAAGGCTTTTTTCAGGACTAAACATTTTGATCAGTTTATTTGCATATCCCCTAGTTAGTACCAGAGCACCATGATACTCTAGTTGTATGCAACCAGGCCATTTATTCACACCAAACATGTCCCTGCAAGTTCTGAGGGGAATATCTTGATATTCATGGCAAATAACACAAAATAACAAGAACTTCAGGTTGTAAAATCTGTGATACCAAGTGCAAACTTCTTGGGGGAGCATCAATGCCACTGTTATTTGGAAGATATTGCTTTGGCATGGCAGGCCTTTATAAATATTTGAATCTTTCTGTAAAAAGCACTGAAAAATAAGACTAATTTCAATTTTGCATTATTTTGCATTTCTGTTCTCAGCTCCTTGTGGTCAAAATGAAACCAGAGAAGATGGCAAAATAATCCAGCTACCTCCCTGCAAGACAGGAGCATGGATTGTTCCTGCCATCATGGCCTGTTACCTCTTGGTTGCAAACATCCTTTTGGTGAACCTCCTCATTGCTGTTTTCAAGTGAGTGACACATTGAGAAATATTGACTTAGAGGGGACAGACATTATTCACGGCATAACAAGGCTGCTAAACTGAAGACTTTGGCTGAGACCCACTTTCAGAGAATTTGAGCGTGAGAGGAAAGAGACTGTAGCTTGTCTCCAGGGAATGAGGGAAATACCAAGTTCTCACATTGTCTCATTTCCAAGGACAGACACACACTAGGAATCAGGGCAGAGAAGCCAAAAAATTTGAAGTTCAGTTATGGCATCATTCGATCCTGAGATGGAAAACAAGAATAAAACTACTTTCCTGACTCGTTGGGTAAGACTCAATGGTTGTGCAGAGCATACGTACACAATAGTAAGATAATTAGAAATGGCTGATTGCCACTGTGCTTTGCTGAAGCACAAATTTATTAATTTCTTTTGTTCTTCTTCCTCTTTTTGTGACAAGGAAACATTTGCCACTATTAGTAAATGTGTCTAGTTAAGGTGCTGTCATATCACCTTCGACAAAGTATGCAAAACCATTTTAATCTGACGTTGTTTTCCTCTTCTTTCCTTCTAGCAACACATTTTTTGAAGTCAAATCCATATCCAACCAAGTATGGAAGTTTCAAAGATACCAGTTAATCATGACATTTCATGAAAGACCTGTTCTCCCACCGCCTCTGATAATTTTCAGCCATATGACGATGATATTCCAACACCTCTGCTGCAGATGGCGGAAGCATGAAAGCGACCCAGATGAGAGAGACTATGGATTAAGTAAGCCTTATACAATTCACAGTGTGGGACTTACCAATATCCTTGGTAATATTTAGTGTTTCACACGAATGAAGGCTAAGTCCAGCACATTGGTAACTTTGCCAACTTTTGACTGCAAAAATCTTACCTGTATCAGTTTGTTTTACCTGCATTGCGCTCAACTATTAGTTCTCCTTAGAACACTGATGAGTCTATGTTTTTCTCAGATTCCTTGGTGGTGTTCCCTGCAAAACAAAGGATTTGTTTTGCTGTTGCTAGAGGTCTGTTACTGCTGGAATTCTTCTTACAAACTGTCACACTTCCAGATCTCAGTTTTCTTTATGAAAATACAGAGAGAACATTCCTACTTTTTTGAGAAAATAGCACATACCTCCCCCCCAACACATTTTTTGCCTAGATAAGCTGAGAGACAGTGAGAAGGAATTATTCTGCAGACACGTGTTCTCTCGTTGTCACTGACTCAAGCTGGAGTAGTTTCTCCAGGCATATGAACTCCTATGAGCATAATGGAAAACCTGTCAGATTATTTTGATAACACTTTTTCTCCTCTTCTCTATCTAGTTCTTCAAAGCAGAAGGTCTCCACCTCCTGACTATATGCCAGAGGCAGGAAGCTAAGGGATGTGTATCTCTTCCCAACATTCCCATGTGGCCCATGCCACAGACCAATTCTCTATAAGGAGGCATCTGGAGCCAAGTGGTGGCAATGGAGATGCAAGTGCAAGCAGACTGTTCTCCTCCCACTCACATCACACTGTCTGCCACAACCCTTACTGCTGCCTGCAGATATCATCTCTTGCCATGTCAAATAGACCCTCTGTCTCTCAGACTCCTTTCCTATCAATCTGCTGTTTTGATTATATTTGCATTAGGCTTCAGGTGGGCTTTGGCTCCCAGGACCTGACCAGCAGCTGTGTTTAGATCTCATGCAATCAAAACACATTCATGTTTTCTAAGCATTTGCCTCCTTAAGTGTTTCTGTCTTCAGAATCACATATAATTGAAGCCACTAATTTGGTAATTAGCTGCATCTATCTGCTTTCATACCAAAATGCAAGATAAATTTGAAGCCTGCTTTTGCAAATTTAGTCCATGAATTCTACAATGAGAAGAATGTAGTGAATTTCACGTGTTAATCTTTGCCAAATTCACGCTTTTCCATTGTTTCCACAGAACTTTTCATAACTGAGGATGAATTGAAAAAAGTCCATGATTTTGAAGAGCAGTGCATAGAAGAGTATTTTAGAGAAAAGGATGACAGATTCAATTCCTCCAATGATGAAAGAATCCGTGTCACTTCAGAAAGGTGGACTTTTTTTGTTTGTTCTCTCATAAGTTGATCCAGAAATGTGTTTCTGTTTCCATTCTCGCTCTTCCTTTCTTATTCTTGAAAAGGAAAACATTTGAGGAGTTTTTTAATAAGTCATAAGAAAAAAGAGAGTGATAAATGCTGGTGAATTTATTTTCTTTTTTTTTTCTTTTTTGCAAAAGTAAATGTGCCTCAAAGTTTTGAACACATGAATCTCTTAACCAGTTGTATTAAAACACAACTGACGTAGTAAGAAACAAATTATTCTTGCATTTCCACTCTTAAAACAGAACTTCAGGGCACAAGTGGTCAGAGCATAATAGGAGAGTAATTGAGAGATCCTCAATGAAAACTACAGCGTCAGCACTGACCTGCTACCCATTCAGATAAAAAGTGAGCTTTGTTTCAGGATGGCCTTGATAGGTAAACTATCAAACTAGTGTCATTGACAGCAAAGGGGATCTTGCCATTAATTTAAAAGGAGCTAGACATTTCACCTACAGCAATGAAATGCAGAGAGGACAAAGGTAGTATCTTAATTTCGTGGACATTGCTAGTCTTCAAATTCATCAGTCCTAAAAATTCATAAATCTGTTCATCTGCTTATATGCATTCATCACACAGCAGCTGAGCAACAGCACTGCTCCTGATGCAGCTATGCCTAAAATATGCTTTCTGTAGGCAAAGAATCACCCTTTTAATTTGATTTTGAAATAAATCTCTCCCGGAGAAGGATGAACAGATATAATATCCTTTAATCATGTGCATTACTGAAAACAGCACTCCTAAAATACATATTTTAGAAAAGGATATTGGAGTGGAAGTATCGTAAGGCTTCCTCATAAAGAATGGCCAAGTAATCCAGCTGTACTTGGTCTGGAAGAGACAAATGAGACATCTATATAATTATGAGTGCAAGGAGAGGGTGACTAGAAATCTATTGTTTGCTGTCTCTCCCAGAACGGTATATAGGGGAGCAACAGATTAATCTAGCAGGAGCCTAGGTTCAAAATAAACAAAAATAGATTTTATTTTTTTCATGCAGTAAGTAGTGGAACAGAGCAAATCCTTGACAGCTGATGAGGTCTAAAAGGAGCTGATGATGTCAGCTAAAAGTCTACATGGATTCAAATGAAGACTAGACAAGCTTATGGAAGAGAAATCCAGTAAGCTAGATTCAGAGAGTTTATACTGAGCCCATGAAGTTCCTGAGCAGAAAATGTTTATAGACCAAAGAATATAAGTGGGGGAAGAATTACATATGCTTGAAAGTAAGACAGTGGGCTAAATTGATCCATAGTCCAACTGAGTACCTTTTTTCTTGTGTTCTGATAGTCCAGTGGTCAGAGAACTAACCTGTAAATCACAGATGCAGGTTCAAATCTCTTCGAGCATAGCTTTCCCTTTGATGGACAAGGAAAGAAGAGGCATGTTTGAAGCCTCTGTAAATAAGAAATAATCCAGCTGGGACTTCCATTACATTAGGCAAGTGTTCTAAATCTTTGCAAATTAGTACATAACAGTCTGCCTTTACAACTCTGTCCTGTCCCTGTTTTATAGGAAAAGAGCCCTTATCTTTATTTTAAATAAACAGCTTAAAGCATCTTGTTACAGAACAGAGTTCATGATTATGAAGCCTAAATGAAGACAAACACCTGACCCCACAGATCCCCACATTTATTTTAGCCGATAGCCAATGTGGAAACCAGCATGCCCTGGCTCTGTAAGGGAGACCCAAGTAGCAACCCTATGGCATACAGAAGCTACTCCTGGACCCAAGCACACTACTAGGACTTGCAGCAAATTCCTGAAATTCCAGGTGAATACTGTTGTCATATAGGTCTCTTCTCACCAAACCAACTGCAATGCTCTTCCACATAAGGCAAGTGCAAATGCTTCAAAGATCTGAGGAATATTTTAAAGATGTTTGAGGAATCAGGGCTATCTAAGTATCTTAAATAACATACATTTTGAAAACTGGATGCCCAGGTCTGTCATTTTGCCTGCAGTTATGATCAGGGTAGTATCCTTTGAAGTGTGCTGAGTCTAAAGCACCAAACACTTTTTTTCTAACCTGTAGAATATTCAAATATTTTATATCCAGATTTGCACTTTATAGTTTCCATTTAGAGACTGCTTTGTACAATTAGCAAGATGTAAAGCAAAGAAAACAGAGAAGATGCAAGACTACACAGTTTCTTTTCCAATGTCCAGTCATTAGCCTATAGTAGTAGACCAAGCACAATACCTGTATTATAGCCATATCACCTTAATCATCTGTCCAATTAACTGAGCTTTATATTTGTGTAAAAGTGAACCACAAAGCCCTGCAAATGTGAGTGAAGTTTCCCCTGAAAACCTTCCCTTTGCAGGAAGCTGAGGATGCTCAAGGAGAAGGAAGGGCTAGGAAAAGCCCTGTGTGACATACTTACAACAGGATCTGGACTACCCTCTGCCTCTCCTCCACCCATCTGTGATATGCTCACCCCTTGCTTAAGAAGCTCATATTTGCAGCTGCATTTGTCAGCATGCCCTAGGTCCTGCTTGGAGGAAGAACAGTTGTACATTATAGGTGCAAATCACAGTATACCTGCAAGGAGTGAGGGGCTAGCACTGGGAGAGAAACGGGAGATGGGAGCAGAATCTTGCTTTGAGGCTCAGCCTAGGTGAGTGCCAGCCTAGGTGAGTCCCAGAGGCAGGTTAGGAACTCAAGAAAACAGAAAAACAAGAGACCCTGTTTCTTGCTGTATTGACATGGGTGTAAATTAATTACTTCAGCTAAGCAGTCAGCGGCTGTTCTGGGTCAGGACCACAGCGTCTTGTCTGATTCTGCAGTTTATGCTCTCCCCTTGGAATGGTCCACCCTTGCTTCCTGTGTGGCTTGTCTTGGTTCTGCAATCACCTTACTTCTCTTGTAACAAAAAACACCAGAGGTGTGTCCAGATTTGGTGTCACCACACAGAAAGTCTCCTTTATCGGATACTTTTACATTCAAAAATTTAAAGCTTGAAAAAACACTTCATGTTTGTTCTTCTGTAATTCCAGGTACTGAGTGACTTGGAGGAGTAGCTCACTAGCAAGGTCTCACACAGGCACATGGAAGTAGCAGCAGGATAGTGATACACATCAGAGGAAGTGATTGACTAAGCAAAAAAACTACAAAGCTGTAAGGTGTTTTCCTTAGCTGCATTTATCAGGTTTGGCAAATCTAGCTGTATCTCCTGGAGACCCATGAGAAAAGCAAAGTTGGATGAATTCACTTCATTGCAGCAGAAGAATCACTTTTCCTTTATAATCACTGTGAAACTTTCAGTGGCACATTTTGACCACCACAAAGACATGCATAATATGATAAAAAAATACTGCACTATTTTTCTTGATCTGGCATGAAGCCACTAAAACAATCTCTTCAATAGGCATTTTTTCCATATGGACAGGTCTCAACTCTTTCAAGTCCAATGCAAAACCTCTTACTGACTCCAAAGGGAGTAGGGTAATATCCTAAGAGTATTTAAAAAGCAGATAGGATGGTTGGAGTAGGTATTAATATTACATATTTGGTACTACGTGATATCCATTACTGCAGCGCCTTAACAGAATATAGTCTGCAGTACAATTGTACTAACAGCCTCTATGTGAATGAAGACATAGTTATTATCTGGATTTCAGAGATGACAGACTGAAGTGCATAGAAATAGGTTTGGCTTGGAAGGGCCACTACTGAGTCTACCAGATCCAGCTGCACATACAAACAGTAGGAAAGGTCTGTGAATCCAGCAGCATCTCTTGTGGTCACAAAGAATTTAAGTTTTCTTAGGCTCCAGATTACTTCCAGAGCATTGTGCTACTCTGTGTGATGAATGATTGCAGAACTGAATAGCAAATTAATATGAGCATATTGCTAATTAAAACTATAAATATTTGCTTAAAATACTGGAAGTAGCCATATGCAATATATACAACAGTTGACTAAATTCAGCTAATCACTTTGGGGTTGGAGGAGATCATCACCACTCGAGCTTTCTTTTTGTGAATAAAATCATGTAGTCAGGGCCCATAAGTCACATACATACATGTATGTACTTCTAAGTGATCTGTGCACATTTCTGGTTATCCCTGGTGTGCTGGGTTCAGCCAGG